GAATCGTAATAATAATAATAATAATAATAATAATAATAATAATAATAATAATAATAATAATAATAATAATAATAATAATAATAATAATAATAATAATAATCATTTTATTTTTACTAATACTGGATTTACATTTTTCCAGGTACAATTTTTAACTTTTTTTAAATCAAATACATCGAATATATCGTATTTATATTATTATTAAAATTTTAATATTAATTTTAAAAAAAAAAATTGCTTACAATAATTAAATTTAAAAACTATAATAATAATAATAATAATAGTATATAACAAAACTTTTGGCTTTGATAAAAATTCAAAAAAAAAAAAAAAAATTAATTATATCAATTTACATAAGTCATAAATAATTTATGGTCGCATACCAAAAAAAAAATTTAATAATAATAATTATTTTAAATAAAATATAATAGTAATAATAATAATAATAATAAGTTTCTTTTTTAAAATTAATGTATATATAATAATATACGATTACATATATATTATAATTATTACATGCTTTCAATTAAATATATTAATATATTTTCTAACATAAAATTTTATTTAGACATTACATTAAAATTTTTTTTTTCCCTCCATTTTTCAAAAATTAACAAATAATAATACAAAAAAAAAAAAAAAAACAATCAAGTATTATTATTACTATTATTATTATTATTATTATTATTATTATTATTATTATTATTATTATTATTATTAAATACATACTTAAAATAATAAGGCAATACGTAGTAAAAGTTTATTAATAATAAAAGCTAAAAAAAAAAAAAAAAAAAAAAAAAAAAAATTCATAAGTCAAATTTAATAAAATAGACAAAATTTTTTTTCCTTTTTTTTCTTTTTTTCCTTTTTTTTCCTTTTTTTCCTTTTTTTATTTATATTTGTTAAGTTTTTAACAATAATGTGAAAAATTATTTAAAAAAAAAAAAACTTTGTCAATGTGAAAAAAAAAAAGAATTGCATTAAAATTATTGCAAATATTTATTTATTTTTTTTTATTACCTAATAAAACTATTTAAATTATTATTATTATTATTATTATTATTATTATTATTGTTAAATGATTATTTATTTATTTATTTATCGTTTAGGCGATTATAAGCGAGTTCCTATAAAAACATCATTTTTTTTGTTTAAACAAAAAACTAAATAAATAAACTTTTATTATTTAAAAAAAATTTGTATTTTTCCCTTCAACTGACATTTTCTTTTTTTTCGTTTTTTGTTAAATGTAATTATTTAATTTATCAAAACTAATTAAATATTGTAATCACAGAAATTTTCCAGTATTTAAATATATATATATATATTTATTTATTTATATAATAATTAATTATTATTATTATTATTGTTTTATTTTAAATAACGATTAAATAATTCCAGTCTTAGCGTTAATAATAAAAAAAAAAAAAATAAAAATAAAAAAAAATGCAAAATATATATTTAGTTAATTAATTTCTATAAACTTAAATTAGAGAAATGTTATAATAATTTCTTTTTTTTTTTGTATTAAAAAGAACCAGCTTTTAATATTATTATTATTATATACTCGAATTAGTATAAACGAAAATAAGAATGAAATTGTATAGATACGAATTAGCCAATTCTATCATTTTTTTTCTTTTATATTTACTAAATTTTATTCGAATTTATTTGTACTAAAAAAGAAAAAAATCTCACGAGCTAATTTAATTTGAATTTTTTTTTTTTTTATTCGATTCGAGTTCGATATTTCGATTATTCCGTTTACCGAAAAAAAAAACAAAAAGCAGAAGAAATTTAGTTTTTTTTTTGTTAATAAATAAAATTTGATCGAAAAAAAATAAAATAAAAAAACGGAAATGACGATTATAAATGATAATATTTCCGTTTCTCAATTTTTTTTTTTTTTTTATTGGTCCGCCCTTACATAATAATAATAATAATAATAATAATAAAAACTACTAAATTTCATTCGAAATCAGTCGGTCAAAAAAAAAAAAAAAAAAATAATAATAATAATAATAATAATAATAATAATAAAAACTACTAAATTTCATTCGAAATCAGTCGGTCGAAAAAAAAAAAAAAAATAATAATAATAATAAAATAATTATTTGGGGAGCGTTCAAAAAAAAATTTAAAAAATCAATTAATTAATTAAATAATAATAATAATAATATTAATAGTAAGGGAATCGATAACTAAATTAAATTAAATATAA